CAAGTAGCTGGGATTACAGGCGCCACCACCATGCCCAGCTAATTTTTTGTATTTTTAATAGTGATGGGGTTTCATCATGTTGGCCAGGCTGATCTCAAACTCCTGATTTCAGGTGATCCACCCTCCTCAGCCTCTCAAAGTGCTGGGATTACAGGTGTGAGCCACCTCGCCCAGCCAGAAATCTCTATATAAATTATCCAGACCAGGTGCAGGGGGTTCATGCCTATAATCACCGCCTTGTGGCATGCATCACCACACCTGGCTAATTTTGTATTTTTAGTAGAGACAGGGTTTCTCCATGTTGGTCGGGCTGGTCTTGAACTCCTGGCCTCAGCTGATCCGCCCACCTGGGCCTCCCAAAGTGCTGGGATTACAGGCATTAGCCACCGCACCGGGACAACATAAAATTTTTCAACCTTTTAATCCAACATCCCAGTCTTGGGAATCTGCCCCAAAACAAGGCATATGATTATATATAATGTTTTCTTTTCTTTTTGAGACAGAGTCTTGCTCTGTTGCCCAGGCTGGAGTACAATGGTATGATCTTGGCTCACTGCAACTTCCACCTCCCAGATTCAAGTGATTCTCGTGCCTCAGCCTCCCGAGCAGCTGGGATTACAGGCACCCGCCACCATGCCCAGCTAATTTTTGTATTTTTAGTAGAGGTGGGATTTCGCCATGTTGGCCAGGTTGGTCTCAAACTCCTGACCTCAAGTGATTATCCCACCTCAGCGTCCCAAAGTGCTGGGATCACAGGCATGAGCCGCCACACCCAGCCTAAAAATCCAACATTTAAAACAATATGCTTCATACGTTTAAAAAATGTATTACATGATCCCATTTCTGCAACATTATGTAACTTTACAGGCATTAAGAAATCCACCAAGGACCAGGTACAGTGGCTGACACCTGTAATGTCAGCACTTTGAGAAGGCAAAGCAGGAGGATCACTTGAGGCCAGAAGTTCAAGACCAGCCTGGGCAACATAGGGAGACTTTGTCCCTACAGAAACAAAAAATAATAATATTCAGCTGGGCGTGATATTGTGTGCCTGTAGTTTTAGCTACTTGGGAGGCTGACATGGGAGGATCACTTGACCCCAAAGAGTTTGAGGCTGCAGTGAGCTGTGATCATACCACTGCACTGAAGCCTGGGCAACAAAGGAAGACCCTGTCTCAAAAAAAAAAAAAAAAAAAAAGTTCATTGAGGTGACTCTTATCTGTAATCCCAGCTACTTGGAAGGCTGAGGTGTAAAGGATAACTCAAGGCCAGGAATTCAAGACCAGCCTGGGTAACATGGGGAGACCCCTGTCTCTACAAAAAATAAAAAAATTAGCCGGCTATGGTGGTGTGAGCCTGTAGTCTCAGCTACTCATGAGGACTGAGGTGGGAGGATGGCTTGAGCCCCAGAGGCAGAGGTAGCAGTGAGTAGAGGTGGTGCCACTGCACTCCAGCCTGGGTGACAGGGTGAGACCCCATCTCGAAAAAAAAAAAAAAACAAAAAGGCTGGCCACAGTGGCTCACACCTGTAATCACAACACTTTTGGAGGCCAAGGCAGGCGGATCACCTGAGACCAGGAATTCGAAACCCACCTGGCCAACATGGCAAAACCCCATCTCTACTGAAAATACAAAAGTTAGCTGAGTATGCTGGTGCATGCCAGTAGTCCCAGCTACTCAGGAGGCTGAAGAGTCACTTGAACCTGGACGGGAGAGGTTGCAGTGAGCCGAAATCGTGCCACTACACTCTAGCTAGGGCAATAAAGCAAAACTCCCGTCTCAAAAAAAAAAAAGAAAAGAAAAAGGGTCAGTCCAGTGAGAAGCGAGAAGGGGTAGTTTGGGGGCTTCTTCTCCTGAAGAAGAAAGGGTCACAGGAGGAAAGTCTTAGTCATGTCATCCTTGATCAGAAGGGTGATCAGCACTGCGAAAGCCCCAGGTGCCATTGGACCCTACAGCCAAGCTGTGTTAGTCAACAGAACTGTTTACATTTCAGGACAGATAGGCATGGACCCTTCAAGTGGCCAGCTTGTGTCAGGAGGGGTGGCAGAAGAAGCTACACAAGCTCTTAAAAACATGAGTGAAATTCTGAAAGCTGCAAGCTGCGACTTCACTCATGTGGTGAAAACAGCTGTTCTTCTGGCTGACATAAATGACTTCAATACTGTCAATGAAATCTACAAACACTATTTCAAGAGTAATTTTCCTGCTAGAGCTGCTTACCAAGTTGCTGCTTTGCCCAAAGGTGCCCAAATTGAAATTGAAGCAGTAGCTGTCCAAGGACCTCTGACAATAGCATCACTATAAGTGGGCACAGTGCTGTGTAGTCTGGAATTTTTAACATTTTAATTTTTACAATTGATATAACATCTTAATTAACATCTTAATTTTCACAATATTGATGACAGTGTGAATTTGATGAAAATATCTGATGTTATTATGGAAATACCATATAATAGGGAGAGTTGAACATGAACTGAAGATGAGAGAAGGAATCCAGTTACTGTTTAAATTACACCTGTGTGCACCTGTATTCCTGAATGCAGGAAAGAGGTACTCATTACATAGTTACTCAATAAATAAAAGAGAAATAACAGGCAGGAAAGAAGACATTATGCCTGAGAAATAATGAAGAACATATCCAATTCAAACTAATGATGTGAACGATTTAATTCTCATGTCAGGTATGTGATTCTGCTTTTCCTGAGTAAAATTAAAGTGTTTAAATTTGAGATCAAGGAGAAGAAAGTGGACCAAAATGTTATATAGATAATATTTTTCTAATGGAAATACAATAGACATGCAGATTTTAAAAAAGAAAGAAAGAAAGAAAGAAAAAGATGTGGCTGGGCACGGTGGCTCACGCCTGTGAGCCCAGCACTTAGGGAAGTCGAGGCAGGCAGATGACCTGAGGTCAGGAGTTCAAGACCAGCCTGGCCAACATGTTGAAACCCCGTCTGTACTAAAAATACAAAAAAATTAGCCGGGCGCAGTGACACACGCCTGTAATCCTTCTCAGTAGGCTGAGGCAGAAGAATCGCTTGCAACGGTGAGCCAAGATAGTGCCACTGCACTCCAGCTTGGGAGACAGAGTGAGACTCTGTCTCAAAAAAAAAAAAGGAAAAGAAAAAGAAGCTCAACATCATAACATCATTGGTCATGAAGAAAATGCAAATCAAAACCGCTATGAGACACCACTGCACACCTATTTGAATGGCTAAAGTCAAACAAGACTGATGATACCAAGTATCAGGCAAGATGTAGAAGAACTGGAACTTTCCTACAGTGTTGGGGTGAATGTAAAATTGTACAACCACTTTGGTAAACAGTTTAGCAATTTCTTTAAAAATTAAACAACAGGACAGGCAGGGTGGCTCACACCTGTAATCCTAGCACTTTGGGAGACCGAGGTGAGCAGATCACCTGAGATCAGGAGTTCAAGACCAGTCTGGCCAACATGGCGAAACCCCATCTCTACCAAAAATACAAAATTAGCTGGGCGTGGTGGTGCACACCTGTGATCCCAGCTACGAAGAGGCTGAGGCAGGAGAATCACTTGAACCTGGGAGGCAGAGGTAGCAATGAGTTGAGACTGGGCCACTGCACTCCAGTGTGAGCGACGGAGCGATACTCCATTTCAAAATAAATAAATACTACAAAAAATTAGCTGGGCATGGTGGCACGTGCCTGTAATCCCAGCTACTCAGGAGGTTGAGGCAGGAGAATTGCCTGAACCCAGGAGGCGGAGGTTGCGGTGAGCCGAGGTCGCGCCATTGCACTCCAGCCTGGGTAACAAGAGCGAAACTCCATCTCCAAAAAAAAAAATAAAAATAAATAAATAAATAAATAAATAAACACACACTTACCTACGACTCAGTCCTTCCACTCCAAAGTATTTACCCACAAGAAATCATAGAAAACATTCAACAGGCTGGGCGAGGTGGCTCACGCCTGTCATCCCATCACTTTGGGAGGCCAAGGCGGGCAGATCACCTGAGCTGGGAGTTTGAGACCAGCCTGACCAACATGGAGAAACCCTGTCTCTACTAAAAATACAAAAAAAAAAAAAAAAAAAAAAAAAAAAATTATATATATATATCCAACAAAGACAGGTACATGAATGTTCATAGCAGCTTTATTTGTAATACTTCAAAACTGGACATGGTCCAGATGTCCATCAGCAGGTGAATAAAACTGTGGTGCATCCAAACAACGGAATACTACTGGGCAATAAAAAGGAATAAACTATTAACACATGCAACAGAGATGACTTGCAAATCCTTATGCTCAGCTAAGCAAGAAGCCAGAAGAAACACAAGGACATACTGTATGATTCTATTTACATACATTCTAGAAAGTGCAAATTAACCTATAGCAGCACAGTTGTTACTTGGTGATGGGAGGCAGGAGGAGCAGGAGGGCGGGCTTAGCAAGGGCAGGGGAAGCTTTCCAGAGTGAGGGGGATGTTGGTTATCTGACTGTGGAAATGGCTTCACAGGCGTACACGTATGTCAGTCATCAAATACACATCTTTAATATATGCAGCTTACTGTACGCCAATTATACCTCAATAAAGCTGTCTTTCAACAGTATACACTCGAAGGCAGCAGCTGCAAGGCGGTAACTGCAGAGTTACTTGGACAGACACTGCAGTGATTCCTCTCGACTTGTTTTCATCATCTAGGAGTGTCCTGTTAAGTTTTCGGTTTTGTTTTTCAAGCAAGTTCTATTTTTTTCAGAGATTACTTTTAAATATTTACAATTTTTTTCCTTTTTTTCTTCCTTTTGAGACAGGCTGTCACCCAGGCTGGAGTGCAGTATCAAGATCATAGCTCACTGCAGCCTTGAACTCCTATGCTCCAGCAATCCTCCACTTCAGCCTCCAGAGTAGCTGGGACTGCAGGCGAGTGCCACCATGCACAGCTAATTTTTGTATTTTTTTGTAGAGACAGGGTTTTGTTGTGTTGCCCAGACTGGTCTAGAACTCCCGGGCTCAAGTGATCTGCCTGCCTCAGGTTCCCAAAGTGCTGGAACTGCAGGTGTCAACCACCATGCCCAAACTAAATTTTATGGCATAATATCTGATACATACAAAAGGATGTGTGGCACCTGGTGTGAGTTAGGAACAGAGTTATAAATGAAAAACCCATGAACCTACCACGGAACCTGAGAGCTATGACATTACCAACACCTTCACAAACTCCTGGGCCCCCTCCTTATCCCACCCCACATTCCTCTCAGGGATCCCCATCTCGGATTTTGTGCTTTTCCTTCTTTTGATTTTTAGTAGAGTTGTATCTTGTGCGTGTATTGCTAAACAATAGATGGTTTCATCTCGTTTTTGAGCATTGCAAAATGCTATCATTCTGTCCATAGAAGTACCATTTTAGTTTACCTCTAAGATTCATCTGTTATTGCATTATGTCTATTACAGTAGTTCTGATTCTCCCAACAGCCCTGCAGTTGGCTTAGGATATGGTAAACCTATGGAAAGTAAGGCTCAGCGAGGTGGGGTGGCTCACCCAGTCCAAGGGCAGACTGCAGGGACTCCTCTTCACCACATCCTTTACTCATGAGGGTCTCCTGCGCACCAGCAGTGAGCAGGTGCTGGACATGCCACAGGGAACACAGCAGATCCTCCGCCGCCCAAAGCACACATCACAGCGCTGCCCTTGACTCTACCACCAGGACGACTCCGGGTCCAGGCCAGTTACCTGAACATCCTGGGGGGGGACCATGTCCCTTCTATTTGTCCTCAAGAATGATGCTTGGTCTGACCCTCTCACAGGTCTCTGCTCATAGAGGGCAACTGGACAGTAGCTATCAGCATGACAGACGCAGCCACCACTGACTCAGTAATGCTCTTTCCAGGAATTTATCCTCTAGAAATGCTTCAATATGTACAGAGGGACACTGGCATAAGAATATTTATTGCAGCGTTGTTTGTAATATCAAAGTAGTAAAATCAACTCAAATTTCCACCAATAGGGATCTCACTGCAGGTCATTAACATTCGTTATGGGAAACATACACAGTGGAGTACCACTAGCTGTAAAAAATAATTTTTTTAAAAGGAGATTTTTTCATAACACAAAACTCTCCAGAATATATATCTATTTTCTGGGTGCATGTGACAATTTAATACATTCATATTCTCCAGGATATATACATAATTTTTTTTTTTTTGAGATGGAGTCTCGAACTATCGCCTGAGCTGGAGTGCAGTGGCACGATCTTGGTTAACTGCAACCTCTGCCTCCCGGTTCAATCGATTCTCTTGCTTCAGCCCCCCCCCCCCCCCCAAGTAGCTGGGATTACAGCTGTGCACCACCATGCCCAGCTAATTTTTTGTATTTTTAGTAGAGATGGGGTTTCACCATGTTGACTAGGCTGGTCTCAAACTCCTGACCTTGTGATTTGCCTGCCTCAGCCTCCCAAAAGCTTGGATTACAGGTGTGAGCCACCATGTCCAGCCCCCTAGGATGCATTTTTAAAGGGCAAGTTCAGTACAATATATGGAATATGTTACTATGTGTATTAAAAATTGCAAAGAATAAAATACACTAAATTGCTTAAATACACATAAATACTTCTAGAAGGGTTCATAAGTAACTGGGACCAGGGTGGCCGGGGACAGGGGTAAGAGGGAGACTCTTCATTATATCTCTGCTATATTTAAGAAAATATGTACCATGGGCAAAGGTTACCCATTTAAAAATACATAAATAAAATTTATAAAGTGTTAGTCTCTCAGTGCATATTCCCTGGCTTCCTGGCCTTTCTTTGCTCTTGGCCTGCCTTTGCTGGCAACAAACGTTTTACAGGAGGCCACCACTGTGGCAGTTTACATTCTGCAGTCCAAAGCCCCTTTCCAGACTGAATCTGAGGGCCCGGAGGATCCGCCACAAGGAGGCGCTGTCTGCTGCCGGCTGCTCAGTGGGCGAAAAGCCAGCCCTTCCCAGGGTGCCTTCGGTCAGCCGCCATTGCTGAGGGGGAGCTCACCTCCCTGTCCCCGCTCACCCTACCTGGGTCCCAACATTCCTCCAAGAAGTCTGTAGAACTGGAAGTTAGGAATTCACTTTGTATCCCTGTTACCACCACCCCCAATTTGGAAGGTGCTCCTCACCCTCCCTGGGGCTCACGGGAACATGGTGTGAATGTCTGCTGTGGAGAGATGCATTCCCTCCCCTGGGCTGGCTCCCCATTCCTGCCAAGAAACCCTCCCAGTCACTGGCTGGAGTCAGAACAGTTGGAGCTCTGCTAGAGGGTGGATGAGGGGACAGTGTGACACCCTGGGAGCCACTGAGCCTCCTCCCGTGGCTGCCACCCACCCACTGCCCACCACACCACTCACTTCACAAGTCCTTCCTGCTGCCCGCCAGGTGCAAAATTCTTCCTCTAATACTGCCTTGAATGTCGGGGTGACGATGGGGCCTTTGTTCCAGCTGTTACCCCCACCCTGCCTCCACTTTCGGGCCCCCCAACTGTGGGCCCTCAAGGCAGCTCCCATCCTGCCTCCCGGGCCTCAGCTGCCCAAAGGCTCAGGGCAAGAGCGCTGGCCAGTGCCTGGGGCAACAGGGGATGCCTGGCCTTGGGGACCCTGGGGTTCGGAGCTGGGGGAGACAGACCCTGGGAGAATGGCAGCGTAAGCACAAGCTACAGGAGATGGCCATGCCAAGATGCAGGCTCCAGCAAGGAGGACGCCCCTGCCCAGAGGTGGGTCCATTTCTCATAGTGATCCCAGGGCCTGGCACTGAGGCAGCCCTCAGGAGTATCTGTTACCCGGACACAGGCTAACCTTCCCGTTGAATCTGATGATCGTGCTATCATCTGATGTTCCTGGCCTAGTATCTGGGCAGTAGGTGGAGACAGGGGATGCAGGTCATGCAGGTTACCCCCACGGGCAGCAGCCTCTCTGGGACTGGAGGGAACAGCCCTCAGGGGGCCCCTCCTGGGCCCTTCCAGGGGCCACCCAGTGAGATCCTCGGTGGGGCAAGGGTGCCCTGGATTAGAGTTCCTTTGTTGGTGCCCCCCATCTGCATGAGTCCTTGGGGTGCCAAACTACAGCGGAGGCCTCTAACAACAAAGCAGAGGGTCAGCTCTGATCAAGGGTACAGGGAAGGCACAGTGCCCCTGGGATGGCTGCTGGGAACCATGGCCTCCTGTCACCTTACCTGGCTTCCCCAAAACCCCAGGGGCCCTGCCCTTCTGAGGTGCCCACAGAAAGGGAGGGAGAGAGGGAGGGAAGGAGGTGGGAGAGGAGGTGGGAGAGGTGGTGGGTTCACTCCCCCGACCCGGAGGGACCAGAGGAGTAAAACAAACAGCTTTAATACCAATATAGTTCTCTCTTAAATACCATGTTCCCCAGGAGAGATGCAGGGGCAGGCTCTTGGCAGAAAGAGTAGAAAAGAAATGTGGAACGAAATGGAATGGATGGCCCAGGGCCCCTGCCTTGGGCACTAGGGACTGGGCTGCCTCAGGGAAGGGGGAGTGACAGCAGCTCCCCCTGGTCCAGTTATTGCAGAGGCATAGGGGTGGCTCCCCTCCCTCCCCAGGCCTGAAACATTTCTCAGGATTAATTCTGCCCTTCAGCCCCAGCAGGGCTGGGGCCTGGGCGTCTCTGGTCTGGGATGGGCCCCATTGCTCAAAAGGGCCTGCAGCTAAGGCATGGGGTGGGGAGCCCCTGGCCAGGCCCGCCGCTCTCAGTAGGTGCTCTGGTGGCCTGTGAGGATGTAGAGGTTGCTGTGCGCCCCTGGGTTGTCAGTGGGAATGCTCTCCAGGATGATGTCTCTGGAGGAGAGAGGAGTAGGGGGCAGGGCGGGAGATGCTTGGCACATCAGCCCCTTCTCTGGCTTCAGGGGCATCTGAAGGGGAGGCTGGGGTGCCGCCGCCTACCTGTGGGCCCCAAGCACTCGGAAGATCCTCGTTTCATCTGTGATCTCCTGGGTCACCTGGGAAGATGGTGGGGGGCACTGAGGTCACTCCAATAGGTCCTTTCCAAAGAGGTGGGGACCACAAGGCAGGGGACAGCCAGGTCCCTGGCCCCACTCACCTCGTTGGTGTCCAGGCTGCGGCCTTGCATCCCATGGCTCCAGAAGGCCAGCACACTGTCCTGCAGGCACACTATGGGGCCAGGCCACCATCAGCCCTGCACCCGTCCTGGATCCCCCTCAGCCACTCCTGGGTCTGGGTCTGGGCCACAGCGGTCCTCACAGACCTCAGGTGACCAGGATGGCTCAGGAGAGGGGCTGGGGGATCTGTCTCCTCGTCCCACCGCCAGGCCCAGGCCCCCGAGCCACAGTGTGCTCCAGGCCAGGGAAAGGCCCGCACACCACCTCTGGCTCACTCACCCACAGTCTCGATGGGGAAGTCAAAGGTCAGCTCAGGCGCCAGTGTGGCCGTGGGCTCACCCTGCATGTTGACAATCCTCACGCAGCCTGCACAGGGAGGGGACTGGTGGGTGGGGATGGGGTGGCTTCCTTCTGGAAAGGCAGACCCACACGGTCCCCTCACCTCCATCCTCCCCTGCCCCCAGGGCACTCACGTTCAAAGCTGACTAGGACCGTGTCCCTGTCCACCTGGATCACCTGCTGGGCCGAGCCTGGGATCCCCTCTGCAGGCAGAGAAAAGAGACATGGCCTGGCTGAGCCACCAGTCCCCCCGGCCCCAAGAGGACATGGGGGACAGGCTATTGGCTATGTGGGCACATCAGCTTCACAACAGCCCTGTGGGGCTGGGAAACCTCATCTCACTCCTGGGCTGGAAACTGAGGCTCTGAGAGGATGTGTGACCCGTCCTGGGGCTTGTGGGGAGTGGGGGGAGTCACAGGGAGCCACAGGAGGGCTCCAGATTTAGGGGAACCAGGCCTCATGACCCAGTCACTGTGTGACCTGGAACAAGTCACTTTAGCTCTCAGAGCCTCTGTTTCCTCATAACACAGGCAAGATGGCACTGCCTAGAGGGGCTACCATGAGGATCAATAATAAAATCTTGGGCCAGGCGAGGTGGCTCACGCCTGCAATCCCAGCACTGTGGGAGGCCAAAGTGGACAGATCGCCTGAGGGCAGGCATTTGAGACCAGCCTAGCCAACAGGGCGAAACCCTGTCTCTACTAATAATATAAAAATTTTCTGGCTGGGCGTGGTGGCTCACACCTGTAATCCTAGCACTTTGGGAGGCCAAGGTGGGTGGATCACCTGAGGTCAGGAGTTCAAGACCAGCCTGGCCATCATGGTGAAACCCCATCTTTTTTTAAAAAAAAAAAAATTTTCTTTTGTCCCACAGGGTAAATAAAAGAAAAAAAAATTAGCCGGGCATGGTGGCGCATGCCTATAGTCCCAGCTACTCAGGAGGCTGAGGCAGGAGAATCCCTTGAACCCGGGAGGCGAAGGTTGCAGTGAGCCGATATCATGCCATTGCACTCCAGCCTGAGCAACAGAGCAAGACTCTGTCTCAAAAGAAAAAAGAAAGAATAAAACCCTGTGTGTGAGACCCCAGGCTCAGGACCTGACACTAGGTGCCTTATCCACATGCGCCCTCCCAATTCCCTTACCCATCGCTACCCACTATTGCCCTGAGCTGCCACAACACCTAGAGTCCTGCTTCTTGGCTCAGAATGGGGCCCCCAGGCCCTGCCTTGCCAGATCTGACCCTTCCCTGCTGCCCAAAGCAATGTTGACCAGGTTGGTTTTGTTTGTTTTTTGAGATGGGGTTTCTTCATGTTGGCCAGGCTGGTCTCAAACTCCCTACCCCAGGTGATCCACCCACCTCAGCCTCCCAAAGTGCTGGGATTACAGGCATGAGCCACCATGACCAGCCCTATTTTTTTTTTGAGACGCTCTGTCACCCAGGCTGGAGTGCAGTGGCACTGCAGCCTCTGCCTCCCAGGCTCAAGTGATCCTCCCACCTCAGACCAAGGGTATGGGACCACAGGTGTGCACCAATGTGCCCGGCACATTTTAAAAATTTTTCGTAGAGTCAAGGTCTCTCCATGTTGTCCAGGCTGGTCTCAAACTCATGAGCTCAAGCCCCCCTCTCTCCCTGGCCTCCCAAAGTGCTGGGATGACAGTGCTGGGAGGACAGGAGTGAGCCCCATGCCCAGCCTGGCCAGGATTTTCTTAGCTGCCAAGCCCTGTGGGCTAATGAACCCTTTTACAGAAGCGCAGGTGAAGCCTGATGAAGGGGGCCTGGGGGGCCCCACCCCGACATGGCAGCCCTCAAGGTCTCTGTGGAGCCATCAGCTGTGGGGATCCTAGTCTGGGAGCCTCGGTCCTCCCTCCCTGCCTCCTTCCCCAGTCCCTCATGCAAGCACATCCACCCCCAGCAGCCTGGCCCTCCTGCTCACCAGGTGGGACGAGGATGTCAGGTGTCAGCCCAGCCTCCAGGGGCAGGACATGGAACAGGACTCGGCAGCCGGGCCCCTCAGGCCCCTCAGCCCCCACACACACCTGCGGCAGCTCCTTCCCATCCAGCACCAGTGGCTCCAGCATCCCAGCCGGGCTGGGCAGGGGGCTGGAGAAGTTCTAGGGGGCAGCAGAGATGCTCAAGTCTCCATTTTTCCCTGCAGAGCTCGAGGGTGCCCTGGGCCTCCCTGCACCGCCCCTCACCTTCAGCAGCAGGAACTTCTGCAGCGGCTCATACCACTGCAGCAGGAGCAGGCTGGCAGGCAGGGCGGCCAGCAGGAAGGTGGCGCCCGTGTAGGGGTTCCGCACTGGCAGGGGAGCAGGCAGTGGGCACCGGGCTGGGCCTGCGCGGCCCCCCACTAGGCCCCGCCCCACCTGCCCGTCCCATTTCTTACCCACACGACACTGCAAGCAGCCTTTGGTGTCAGGAATCTTGGTGGACAGGGCAAAGCGCCTGTAGGGGTAACAACCAAGGCATGTGTCCAGGGTGCCATCCACAGGCAAGGCCCCTGCAGGGCCCTATGAAGGACACTATCATCTTCCTTCTTTACAAGTAAGGGACTGATTCTCAGGAGACACAAAGTAACCTGCCCCAAGAGCAGCTGGAAAGGGAGGAGGATCTGAAGCCAGTGCCCCAGCCCTGTAACCGGAAGAGTGTCTCCATCCAGGACAGGGGTTTGGGTCTTAGAATTGCTTCTAGCTCTGTGTGACTTCAGGCAAGCCACTTAACCTCTTCGTGCCTCAGTTTCCTTGTCTGTGGATTGAGGAAACCCACTCCTGAAACCTTTGCAGGGGAGGCGCTCTCAGCGTGCTGGGAATTGTGTGTGCTCACAGAGAGCTAGGTCCTGCCATCCCACATAAGAACTTTCCACCTATTTTGAGTCACTGAAAGTCTTTGTCAGGTGAAGGCAGGGTATAAAGAAATGAAGAAATGAGCGCATGAAGGGGTCGGGGAGAAGGCAGGCTCCAGCCCCACTGGGCTGCAGAGAGTGTGCACAGCCCATTTCACAGACTGGAAAACAGGCCCTGGGCGGTTAATGGGCTTCAAAAGGCAAACGCCCTGCCCTCTGCTTCTCCAGCTGAGCCCTGTGGGGCCAGGCAGTGGCTCACCTTGTTGCCAGGGGAGTAGTAGTAAGGGACAGTCATCAGATGGGCCCTTGCCTTGGTCACTGGGTATCCCCTAGCCCTCCAGGGGACCCTCTGAGCCTGTTTCTTCCTCTGAGGAATGGGGCTTATGTCAGCAGCCCTGCCACCTCCACCCAGTGGCCTGGGTCCTGTCTGCACCTTCTGCCAGGACGTGGAGGAAGCCAATGTCTGTCTCGCACTGTCCCTGGTCCTCGTCCCTCCATCTCCCCACATTCCTCCCACTCTCCTCCCCCACTGGTCTTTGGACGGGACAGAGGTATGTATTTTGTATTTGTTTTTTCTCCAAACAACTCTAGTTCTCTGTTGTTTGCATTCAAAGTGCTCACTGTATCTCTGCCATTTCCCAAACACAGGCTCAAAGCTGCCTGTGACCTGTTGGGGCTCAGATGGGCCTGTTTCCTGCAGGTCCTGGGCCAAAGCAGAGGCTCAGTTGGGGACTGAGCTCAGGAAGCCCCAAGGCCACAGGGTTCCAGATGTGGTCCTGGAGTGAGCACGCTGCAGGAAAGGCCCCCCGAGCTCCCCAGCTGTCACAGCCACTGGCCTGGCCTCCCCTGCCCTCTGCCCCGGCTCCACTGCTTCCTACACCACCCACCTGGTCATGACAATGTCGGAGCCACAGCCTAGGGACCCTCTCTTCACAACCCAGCCCCACCCAGCCACGGACTGACGCGGGTCCCACCTGCACGTCTAATAAGCATCTTCATGAAACAAAACTGAATTCGGCTCCTCCTGAAACTGCTCCGCCCCCAGCTGATGACAGCTCCATCCTTCCTGATGCCCAGGCCAAAAACCTTGGAGCCATCCTTGACTCCTCTTTCTCTTCCATCAGGAAATCCTATTGGCTCAACATTCCTTTTTTTTTTTGTATTTGTAGCAGAGACGGGGTTTCATCCTGTTAACCAGGATGGGCTCGATCTCCTGACCTCACGATCCATATGCCTTGGCTCAACTTTCAAAAGAGAATCACAATCTGGCTGTTTTTCTCTTCTTTCTTTTTTTTTGAGATGGAGTCTTGTTCTGTCACCCAGGCTGGAGTGCAGTGGCACAAACTTGGCTCATTGTAACCTCCGCCTCCCAGGTTCAAACGATTCTCCTGCCTCAGCCTCTCAAGTAGCTGGGACTACAGGCACCCTCTGCCATGCCTGGCTAATTTTTGTATTTTTAGTAGAGACAGGGTTTCACCATGTTGTCTTGAACTCCTGACCTCAGGTGATCCACCCACCTCGGCCTCCTGAAGTGCTGGGACTATAGGCGTGAGCCACCAGCCAATGTGCCCGGCCTCTCTTTTTTTTTTTTTTTTT